TTTCATTAGAGAAGAACCCGTCCAGAAGACCTATACAATTTTTTTTTTCTTTTTGGAAAAAAWGCAAACACTGCTTAAAAAAAAGCTTAATTCAGTCAATTATTTTTGCTCTTTCTCCAGCCGGTGTTAATGAGGTTTCATCTTGGTGGACACCTACTCAGCAGCCATTCACCTCGCTTTCTGACGGGACTTCCTGGCTCTGGTTTGTCTCTCCGCGTGTGCATCTTCTCTTTTGTTTCTACAAAAAATAAAAAAAACACATATTTACATCCTTGCAAGTTTTGTTTGTGAACAGGTAGGATCAAAGTGGACACACAGCTCCAGAGAAACCCTTTTTTATTTCTTCAGAATCTCTAACATTTGGGATTTCAGCAAAAGCAAAAAGACAGAGTCAGTGGGTTGTGGTTTTTTTCCAAACTATTTGAACAGATGAGTTTCCAACATTCATGTTCCCAACAAACCCAAACATCAGGAAATTCTTCCCTGAAATTTCCAACTCAGGCTCAAACACGAGCAGTCAGAGAAGGCTTTTCAGCGTAGGCTTTTGGAGATAGCGGTATCAGCCTGGTCTTGCAGAATAATAGGCCATTGTGCGCGCCCCCCTCTTCGTCCACCTCCTCCTCTAAACCAGAGCTCCCTGCCAGAGTTTCACGTGACTCGGTGCTCACCCGATTCTCTCGCACTTGCAGCAGCAGCACAAGCAGCAAACGACAACGGAGATGACGACGATGCCGGCCAACACCGACATGGTGATGATCAGTATCTGGAAGTTGACTGTAAAGAAACAGTGCAAGTCAAAACAAAACGCACCTGACAAAAGCGATGGCTGATTATGGACTTTGAGGGGTTCGGAACGACGACTGAATTAGCTTTCAAGCTTTTTTTATCCATTCAGACTATTAAAAATGGAAAAAAATGGTTGATTCAGACTATTAAAAATGGAAAAACAAAATGGGTGGTTTGGAATTATTGTGCGACTTCACAGAACGAGGAGCAGAGAGATTAAAGGCGAGAGTTGTTTTCCTCTGATTGCAGTTTGCAATTTTATTATRAAGTACAAGGTTCACAGGAATGTAGCCGGCCTCCAAGGATGTGGATGCAAGAGAAAATGCTACCCCGGATTGATCAGATGAAAAGACCAGAAGGTAATAAAATAAAATAAAAACAAGGAAACCATCTCTAAGGTCAATTAACATCATTTTCTGAAAACACACCACATTTTGAACCATAAAGGCTCAATGGAGGAAATTTGACAAAATAAAAGTCTCTGGGACTGATGAGACAAAACTGTGTGACTCGTCAATTATTGAGGAGATATATCARCAAATTTATTCACATAAAGACTCTATAAATGTCATTTATTACCACTCACTTTAATTTGTTTATTTTTTGCTCAGTATTTTAACCAAAAAACAGTTGTTCAACCTATTTAAAAAAAAAGTACAGCTAAATATATTTTGCCAGTCTTACCCCAACAAACCCCCCACCGTGCATCGTGCAGGGCACAAACACTGCTGGGGGGCAGGACGTTCTGCACTGGGTAGTCAACACATTGTTGGTTTGTGATGCACCAAAGACACTGCAACACATGAAGAAAAAAACACACAAATCGTGGGCGACAACAACACAAAGTGGAGGCTGTTTGAGTGAAAAGTGAGAAACTTACAGCCACATTCTGCAGACATTCAGCACARCTACTGTTGGATTTCAGGTGACAACTAGCTGAAAAGCAGACAAGGAATTTTAAATTTAACTTTGTGAGAATTGATTTATTGTTGTTTCTTTCCCCCTCTGTAATAAATAGAGGTTCACAAAGAACAATTAAAGTTAAGTGGGTTAACTACAACACAACAAAACCCTCAAAGAACAAACATTAGAATAAACCCAGTTTGATCGTGTCATGTGACAGCCTCCTGACTTGACTCTGTGGCTCCAAAACAAAGTCAGTGTAAGGAAAAACTCACCCGGAGCCGGAGTGGGAGTTTGCGCTCCTGCTGCGGCGAAAAGTGCGCAAAGCAGAACTGCGGCACGCGCAGAAGATGCGGACAAGCCGTGCATGGTTAGCTGCAAGAAGAAGGGAAGAAGGAAAAGGGAGCGGAGGAGAGACGTCTGTGTCTGCTGATACAGGAGTCTAAATCACTGGAGCTGGTTTACGAGGAGTGGCGTCATGACGCACAAACAGCTGGGACACATCTGACWGAAAATCGTTTTATGCGGTTATAAAGGCTTCCGGTTCACAGATACTAACAGCACCCTGCTTTATTTTGCTGAAGTCCAGGAAAGTTTTAGAAGTTGCATTAGAGCGTGT